AGTGAACGTGGCGATCAGGCGACGCGGTGGACGCTGTGATTCCAGCGTTGCCGGTTGCGTTTGTTTTGCTGGCGCATTTGGCCACTAATTTTTTAAATTAATACTTTACAGGTAGAATGTTAAAATTTGAAGAATGATAAAATTAAATTTAAAGTTGTTTGATATTAATTTGGGAGTGCACGTGCACATGTGCTCTTATGGAGGAACCCCCACTGCGTTTAGGTATATTTGCCTGTGGCACTCTAAATTTAATGGACATAATTTATTTTATATAGACAGGATATTTTTGAAAAATGACAAAACAAATTAAAGTATATAGAATATATTAAGGAGTGGGACATTAAACAATAATATTCCTTATTCCTTAACCATATTTTGGTGGCTTTTTCAGCTTCTTTTTCTCACATCGACTAAATAAGGACAAAATTGAGTTAAAATTTAAAAACCGTTTAGCCTTGCATCAACTTACCTAAATTGCTTTATTGATGTTGATAATATAGGCATATTCTGAAAATTGTGCTTTTTGAAGGCGCCCTGTCCAGTTCAGCTGAGGAGTTGAATTTTTAGATAATAATCTGGCTAATATGTTCCTACATACTTCTTCAGTGTTTCTGCCCCCTAGTATTCAAAGACTATTTACCTGAAAGATTATTTCTCTTTTGTAAATCCATTTTTTTAATCACAAAAATAGAAAACGGAAAACGGGGGCAAATAGAAAAACGATAGAAAACTTAGGTTATGATAATACGGGGGCCTCGGGGGCCTTTGTTTTTGTTTATTTGTATCAATTTTTCACCTACCTTGTTTCCTCATGTTGAAAATAATGCATCTCGTACACGTAGTAATACAAATCACAGGTAAAAGACACGTGAAAAACACCACAAAAATTATAAATCAAAAACGCTGCCCTGCATCAGTGAAACAATACAATACAATAAAATAAAACAAAATGGCTACGCTCACAACTCTACGGCAAAAAATACTGTGCTCGCGCCAATTGGCACATTTCTTTACAGTAACTGCACTAACATTTTACAACAGTTGTTGCATCAATATGCGCATGGGAGATCGAAATAATCTATCGCTTTTCCAATACAAAATCTGCAAAGCCGCTGCATATCAAATACTGCACTCCTAAAATACAGTATTCCCAATACAAGTGCTGCGCAGCGTCGATAAAACTATTTATGAGCTGTATTTGGGCTGTGCTCGTGATACAGCAACATTGCAGCGCCGATAAGTTGTGTTTGTTGGGACACCCTGTAAATTTTTACGGATATCGATAGATCTTTGCAAGACAAATTCACTAATATGGCGTTTAGGGATCTTATCTGTCAAAGTGACGGAACAAGTAAAAAAACTAATTCAAACTGTTTATTGTTATAAACACTAAAAATAATCACAACAAATGTTCGAAATGAGCTCCATTATTAGCTAGGCAATAACCTAACCTGTCCTTAAACTCCTGGATAACATTATCGAAGATTTCACCTGGTATAGATCGACTTTCACCAAGTATTCTATCTCTAAGGTCGTTAAGATCTAATGATCTACTTTCGTAGACGTTTGTTTTTAAATGCCCCCACAGGAAAAAATCCAGGGGTGTGAGGTCCGGTGATCTCGCTGGCCATTCAATTTCACCTCGTCGTCCTATCCATCGGTTTGGAAACTCCTCATCAAGAAATTGCTGGACTTGTATACCAAAATGCGCTGATGATGCGCCATCTTGCTGAAACCAAATATGTTATCAGCCATAAGTCAGTGTACGATTCACTAGGTACATAAACAAAAAAATCGTCCTTATAAAGTTTACCTTGTTCAGGAGCTCAAGGAAGATGACTTCGACAGAAGGTCAGAGTTTTGCGAAATTCTTATGGAGCGTTGTAACTTGGTCACGTTCAGCCGAACTCAACATGTTGAATGATTAGGTAGCGGCTTTGTTCCAACAAGTGAAATACACAAAGTATAACAGTTTTGATTGGCCAAAAGCTGATTTTCATCTGTTTTCAACAAAGCCGCTGACTAATCACTCAACATGTTAAGTTCGGCTGAACGTGACTATTGATCCCTTCTTTGCAAATAAAATCCATTTTTCTGACGGAGCTGCTTATGCTCAGTTCTGTGAATAGGCACAACTGCAGATTCTGATCTACTACTAATCCTCACTGATGGAGCAAGTACATACTCAGCGCCCTCAGAAAGTAAACGTGGGGGCAGATATTGATGGCCATAATGTAATAGTACCGTTCTTCATAGAGAGAAATTTAACTTCGGACAAATACTTACGATCACTACAAGATAAGGTTATTGCTAGTTCAAATATGCTGACTCCAAACAGGCAGAATACTTAGTTCCAGCAAGATGGTGCACCAACGCATTTTGGTGTACAAGTCCGGAAATTTTTTGTTCTTGATGAAGAGTTTCCAAAGTAGGACGAGGAGGTGAAAATGAATAGACAGCGAGATTATCGGACCTCATCCCCTTCGATTTTTTCCTGTAGGGGCATTTAAAAACAAACGTGCATGAAAGTAGACCATTAGATCTTAATGACCTTAAGAATAGAATACTGGGTGAAATTCGATCTATTCTTGGTGGAATCTTCTGGGTGAAATTCGATCTATTTAGGTGAGATCCTCGGCAATGTTCTCCAGGAGTTAAATGACAGGTTATTGCCTAGCTAGTAATGGAACTCATTTCGAACATTTATTGTAATTATTTTTAGTGCTTATAACAATAAACAGTTTGAATTTGTTTTTTCACTTGTTCCGTCACTTTGACAGATAAGACCCCTAAATCCCATATTAGTGAATTCGTCTTGCAAAGATCTGTCAATATCCGTAAAAATTTACAGGATGTGTCATTTAAAATGAAAAAGTTTGCATTTTTATTGACTCACCCTGTATTCTTACATAAGCGATTTTACACCTGAATGATCCGGAGCTATTCGTTACAGAAGCATACCAATTTTAAGTGAAAAATATTCAGCCGTTTTCAAGATATTAGCAATATTCCAGACTTTTTTTACACCCTGTATAAAAAAAGCAACTAATAGGAACTTTTGTTGCTGCAACCGTAAACAATAAGCAACTTGAATAAACTCTTGGAAACATACAGAAAGAAGTTCCAGGAACATGGAACATAAACACAATATTCCTATATGTTGCTTTCGCCTGATTAGCTGCCCCACAGATTCGAAAAGCCACTCGAATGGGGCTCCATGGTTGATTGCAAACCTGGCGCGCCTCTGGATTCAAGCTCGGTGTTCATTCAACAAAGCAAGGCGGATCGGAGAGTGGCAGGGACACAGAGGCTCTCACAAAGTATAACAAAGAAATCAGGAAGGCAAAAAGAAACAACTTTAGGTCTTTCTGTGAAAATCACCTCGACTCCAGTCGCCGCTACTAGACTGCACAAGGCCACAGCAAAAGAGGGAACAAGCTCGACAATGGCTCTGAAAAAGCCAGATGGTATACCTACACGGAAGGCGAGGAGGAGCGTGCGCTCCGCTTCTTTTGAGCAAACACTTCCCAGGTAGTATATGCCAACAAACAGAAATGAGGAAAGAGCGAACCCCAGAAGGGCCACTATGGAGGACTGGGAAACAGCAAAAACGGTACTCACTAATGAGCGGCTTGAATGGGCATTGAACACATTCGAGCCTCCTACAAAGAGGAAAAACAGAGATCATGCCGCACCTTGTAGATATAGCCAGAACCAGTATGGCCTGGAATCAAGTTCTCTGAAGCAATGGGAAAATACCTAGACATATTTCAGGCGGAAATAAACGCCATAAGTAGATGTGCTGAGTTCAATCTTGACAGAAACTACAAAAAGAAAGAGATTGTCATATTCTCAGACAGTCATGCAGCCATCAACGCGCTGAGCTCACATACATTCAGCTCCAGAATGGTTTGGGAATGCCTGGACAAGTTAAATAAGCTGGGTAAAAATAAAAAACTATCCCTCCAGTGGATACCAGGACACGCAGGAATCGCAGGTAATGGGAAGGAGGACCAATTGGCAAAATTGGAGCACAAACTCCGCTTTCAGGATCAGAGCCTTTCTGTGGCATAGGGACGCACACCTTTAAGGAAGCGTTCAGAAAGGAAGAGCGAAACAATTGGATCAGCATCTGGGAGCAGCTTCCAGGGCTAAGGCAAACAAAAATGTTTCTTGGGCCCCCTCACCAAGGGAGATCAAAAGACCTCATATCACTGAGTAAAAACAATCTTCGCATTCTCACTGGATACCTGACAGGCCACTGCCGGTTAAAAGGGGAACCTTGAGAGTATTAAAACTGGAAACGAAGACAGCTGCCGCTTCTGCTCACGGAGTGCGAGGCGATCGTGAACAAACGGATTGCTTGCCTCGGATGCTGCATCGTTGGACGGGAAGAAATTCCATCCATAGAACCATCCAGCTTACTGGCATTCATTGAATCTTTAAAGCTGGATGAGGTGCTTTGAGTGAGTATCATATCAACCGAAGCACCCAGAAGGGGGGCACAATAGATCCATGCAGGTCGCAGTGTAACAATACCCCTAATTCATTATACTTTCTTAAATATATCGTAACTCTTCTTCACATGATCAAATAAAATTGCATTTCCTAGTTTTCTACCACCTTGTTTTGACATTTTCGTGATTTACATAGATACTATTGTTGTAGATAATAATATCGGCGTACCCCAGGTGGCCGATCCTCGGGCCAGGGAGTAGAGCTCCCCGATAGAACGAATGTTTTGTCCTTGTCAACGTAATCGAAAAGTAAACGAGAATGATAAGGACGAAAATTTTGTTCTCTCGGGGAGCTCCACTCCCTGGCTCGAGGATCGGCCCGCAGGTAGCCTCTACAGCATGTGAATGCTCCCCCAATAAAATCAATATGCGAATATTCCCATGAATGTATTTAGTAATTCTACCAACATATATCTACGTTTAGCTGGGACACAATGTAGCATTGCATGAGTTAGTATATAAAAAAAAAACATTGTTAATATAAAAAATTGTTTATTTTTTTTATTATTTTTTTTACATTTTTTGAATGTTCGTCTTAAAATTAAGTTTATCTATACAGATTTGCGTATTGTTGTCATTTAATTGCAGTGCACGTGCTCCTCGATGCGCATTTTCTTGGTTTCAGATTTGCGACTGAAGTCTGGGTTTCCACCTTGATCAATCTGAGATTTCAAGTAATAGGCGGTCTTAGTGCCTTGGATGCAGTGGACTGGTACATTCTGGCTAACAGTTTTGCGGGCAGATTGGTTGCAGGTAGGGATTGGCTTAATTGTGAAACAGATTTCTCCATTAGATTCAATGTAACGGTTTCTCAATTTGGGACCTTGATTAGAACCTTGTTGGTGACGGTTTCCAGTTCTTCCAGCATCACGATGAGAAATAACGTTGGCATGTACAGGAAGGACTTTTTCTACACATTCCTGATTCCATTCGCCAGAACGTTGCTGACGGCGTTGTTCAGTTTTGTCAATTTGGTAGCTTTCAACGAATTTTTGATCATCTCTGACGACACAGTTAGCCGGAACGGTGAAGTCTTCTTGTTGATCATCGCTAAAACGTCCACACAGGCCAGATATAGAATCACGAAGTTTGCTACTGGTGGCAGTAAGTTTGACACGTTGGCCATCAAAGATCATGTAGAAAGCATTTTGAATTTCAACTTTCACTTCTCCATTGGGCAAAGCATAAATTTCTACAAATCCTTTGTGTAAGTCAGCGATTTGTTGGTCGTCGAATTGTACTTCTTTTCCATCAACGAGAACGGTAGCAGCAGGGTTTTGAGCAGAGTTTTGGCCTCGTTTAGGTTTCATATCAATTTGTACGGTTTTGCCTTGAGTTTTCGGGTGGTTGAAAGTCATTCTCAATTCCTTTTCTTCGCCAGACACTTGGCGGGCAAGGACAACGTAGTTTTCAACTTGTTGTTTCAATTTTTCTTCAACAGATTGTTGTTGGTCATCTCCATTCTCACGAGCTTGTTTGGGAGTGTATTGCATAACAACAGTGTATTGGCTGCTAAGATACATGGAGTAGGTCTTGTTATTGAAGGTTTGAGCAGCGGTTTGGTCAATCATACAGGTTGCTGAAAAAATATATATTTATAATTCTAGCTGCGGCTTGCATTAAAAGAATATATGAGTAACAAAAACATTAAAGGGAAAAGAACTTACGCCTAATGTTCTGGTTTCCTTGAGCAACTCCAGCAAGTCTAGCACGAAGATGAAATACTGGGTGTGATACCAACATAGCTTGAGCTACTTCGTGTTGAATGGAAATATTAAAGAATTTCGTTTCCTCATCTTTAGTTCTTAAAGTAACATTAACTTGTCTAAAATCTTCTGGTTGGAATTGGATAGTACCTTGTACCAAATTTTCTTCGGTTGAGGCAGACTCGATTTCAGTCATTGGATAAGCGAAGACACGGGCAGCCTTGAACATGTCCTCAATGGCTTCAGCAAAGCGTTTGTTGAGGTTTTCATGTTTAATTTGATATTTGATGTGGTCAAGGAAATTGGCTCTGATGGTCATATTTTGGCAAGCTGATAATTGGAAGTTACGTTCTTGCATTTCTTTTTTGCATTCTCTGTACAAGGGTTCTTGGTTGACTAAATATTCTTTACGGGCATGACTCCTGCTCAATTCCCATTTTGCAGAAATTTTGGTCAAGTCATTTCCGTTTTGTCCATGTTGAACGCGTACGTTGTATTTGGCAGTAGGTTCAGTTTTCAAAGATTCAGTCAAGTCCAATCCATTGGTGTTGGGGATATGAGCTTGCACTTCAATACATGCTTGCTTGTCTTGGTCTTTGTTCTTGTAGTAAGCCAAGACTCTGGAACTGGGGTCAGCATTGCTTTTTGCATAAGCCAATCCCAAAACGTATTGGTGTTGTTTTTCTCCATCAACTTCAATAGAAATATCAGCAGAAGCCAATTGGGCGCTCTTAATTCCAGAACCCACATGTTTCATAAATTCTTGTTGACGTTGTTTGGGTTCGGTCTTGGAAGCAAGCTCATTCAATTTGAGGAAGTCTTGCTCCTTTTTGATTTCAGGCTGTCTCTTGTAATCTTGGTCGTATCTGGTACGTAAAGCAATTTTGCGGACAGTGGATTTCTTTGGAATGAAAGCAATGTTAACTTCAGTGTATTGCATGGCATCCTTATCCCACAATTGATCCCAAGCATTCAGGAATCCTTCAGATTGGATAGTTTGTGCAAGTTGAACTAAGCTGGCGGATTGTTGAGGATGATGTCCCCATGCGCGGAAAGCCAAACCAGTTTCTTTTTTGCCGAAAAGTATATCAAAAGCTCTGTGTTGATTCAGACTTTCTTTAATGAGTTGAGTGTTGGGTCTTTGAGATACTGGTTTGATAGTCATGATGTTGCTTCTTGAGGTGTACGGGTAGGAGCCGAAATGCGCGATACGAGATTCCTGACCAGCTTCTCTCACTTCAAATTCAATCTTGGCTTCATTGTTCTTGGCATCTATTTCTACCTTAGCACTAATTGGTACGTGCACTAGAAGGTTTCTGTCATAACCAGCCATATAGATTTCATGATCGAATGGAGTTACAAAACTTAAATGACTTTGTGCTTTGCCAGATATGGTAACTGAAGCTTCAATTTGAGCAGAGATTTGTTCAGGTTTCTGCAATTTGTTGTTTCTGGAAATTTTAGGCGTAGCAACAGCCTTAAGTTTTCCTTGGAATTTGGTCAACATTGGCAATTCATAACTGTAAACGAAGGGAATACCCATTTCGGTAGGGAAAGAAAGAGACATTTCCTTATGCTGCATAAACTTAACATAGTTAAAGTGTTTGCCGTTCTTCAAATTTTCTTCTTGTTCACGAATAACTAAAAAACAAATTTTATAGATAGAACAGGGTTTTCTCGATAGTGAGAAATTGAATCTTACCTTCAGGAAGTTGCTCAAGGGTTTGGTTGTCGAAAGACCATAGGCGTTGGAGGTCTCCCATGTGGGTCATAATAACACCTTCTAATTGTTCCTTTTCTTCAGTTTCATATCCCATTAACTTAGCGATGCTGGCACTGGACCATTGGTTGTCATTTGATTGTTGTTGAGATCTATTATAATAAAGAAAGTTATCAACCTCATTTTCCACAAAATTGGAAAGTTCTAACCTTTGAGATTGATCTTGGCGGTATTGCTCAGTTTGCTTGTACCATACACTGGCGAGTTCTCTGAGGCTAGAAACCTTTCCACCAATGAAAGAGCTAGCTTGTTTCATTCCATTCATGTAACCTCCAGTTTTAAATGCAACAGATAAAGGCCAATTGCTGTCTTGACTAGCGATTACAGCTACGTCCTGTTGGAATTCAATGTTCATTTGTTCACTGACGTAGTTACTTAGGGAGAGAAAACCTTGATTGGCTCCGTATTCTTCTCTGGTGAGCAGGGGTTTAGCTGCTTGGGCCGCTTGTTTCCTGTGAATATTTCCAATTAATGTTTTTGTATTCAACTGATTTAAACACTTACAGTTCTTGAGAATTTAGGGATTTCAAGTTGCTAGCCGATTCAATAGCCGACTTCACAGCAGCGTTAACTTGTACTTGACGGTCAAAGTTAGTGGATTGAGCCATGCGTTGGAGCATCTCAACTGGGGGATTGGTGCTCATGATAAGTAATACAGCGGCAACACGAATTTCAGGAGTTTCAGCAGTATTTTGATAGATCTGAAATATCGTATAAGTATTAATTTGAAAAAAGCCGTACTGTATAAGAAAAATTTAAAAAAAAGAGGTTTTCTTACTTTGTACAAGACAGAACGAGATAATTCTGGTTCGTTGGATACAAGTCGTTCCAAGGAAACAACCATCCAAAAGCGTTGGAATTGAGAGCATTGTTTGTCTCCTTCCAAGTAAGGTTCGAAGACCTCAAGAATTTGTTTGTGTCCAATATTACCGAGGGCCTTAGTGTAAACGTGGATTTTGCGAGCATCGGCGTTGGAGATAGCTTCTTCTAATTTTTCAGCAAAGTGTGGGATGACAGTTTGTTTAACAAATTCCCTTCCTTCCTTGGTGAAAAAGCTTCCGAAAGCATGAACAGGGTATTGGTTGTGAGATTCATTTCTGTTAATGTACACTTTGTGTACCAAGTTGGTGTAAGCCAAAATAGAGCTTTCATTTAAAGCTTGTTGTTCCTTAACTTGATGGTTTTTGACCAATTCAAAGAATTCACGCATGTACTCTTCAGTTGGTACCCGGACAGCTTGAGCCATGGACATAACAACTTCAGCAGCCTCCCTTTTTTGGATTTTTTTGGTTTGGATCCATTGTTGGATGGTAGAGAAAGCTGGGCCAGTGCCAGCTTCAGCTACGGCGTCACGATAGATTTCCCAAGCTTGACGTTCATCCTCTTGTTGTTTTTGAGTGTACATTTTTTGTGCAACAGATTCAATTTCTTCTTTATCCATTAAACGGACAAGGTTGCAAAGCATAGTGTATTTGTTCAAGGTCGATTCTTTAAGGATTTTTTCTGGCTCTTGCACTTCTTCGCTCATTTCTTTTACTAACTTCTCGACGTTTTGTTTAAGGTCAAAGTCGCGGTTTTGTTTGATGGATTTGCCATGGTATCCCATGGTAAATGGAAGAAGTGGAGATTCAGGAGCCTTTGACATTTGGGGTTTTGGTTGCTGTTGAAGTTCTTCTTCTGAGGAACTTTCATCACTTTGCTTTTTAATTAATTGACTAGCTGAACGACGGAATCTTCTCCAGGCTCCTTCATTGCTTTCTTCACTAGATGAATCATCTTCTTGCCATTGCTTTTGTAATTTTGGGTGAGCTTGGTTGTTCTTGGGTTTTTCATAAGTGTAGACCAAGTCTCCAATTTCAATGGGATTAGATAATTCTTCGGGTTGTTTCCTTTGGGTTTCAACTTTCCTAAGAGTTACGTTTACCATGCTGACGACAGATCCCATTTGTTCATTTTCCAAAGTAGGGTTTACCATGATTTTGTTAACAGTGAAAGAGTTTTGAATGACAAATCTTGACAACTTTCCGGTAAGGATTGCACGGGAAGAAGATTCTCTGATGAGGAATTGTCCCATGTTATTGGAGGTTGGTTCTGATTCTTCGGCTTGTCCAAATCCATAATGATACGATGGCCTTTCTTCAGAGTTAGTGAAGTTCTTGGTTTTGATTACTTCAAAAACGTCACCATTTCCTCTCAAGTCTTGTTGTGGAGCTAACCAGGGTTTACTTTGAAGCAAATATTCTGGAAGAGGATGGATATCATAAAGGGTTTCAGATTCTCCGGTTATAGTTTCTTCCATGGTTTTAAATACTCCGTCCATTCTTCCGTGGCTGGGAAAACTGTTCATTGGACTGCGGATGGCATTTTGTCCTTGGACATCCAATTGGAACTGGCTCACAATACTTTTGATAAGGTTAGCCTCCCAATTGGTGAGCTCCTTTTCTACAGTGAGGCACTTAATCAAACCATTTTCCAAAGTCATTTGGAAAGGGTTTTGACTCAGGGCCAATGGTTTGTAGCTGATTTGGGATTCTGGAACTTCAGATTTCCATCCATCAGGCAAATGGCTCTGGATTTGGGCGTACATAGGTTCAGAAATTCTAGCTTGCAGTTTTCCGTCAGAGCGAGGCGATACGTGTAATTTAGCTTTTAAAAAGATTCCTGAATATTGATCGGCCGCATCGTGTAAACTGGTTAATGTACGTCCATTGACGTCATATACATATTCGGTGTTATCTTTCCATGCTGGGTTGGTTGAAGCGACGGCTAGACCAACTAAGACAAAAAAAAGCATAATTAATTCAAGACTAACGTGAAAGATGCATTGTTATTTCCATCGCGTTGCAGTCAGTTTTGATTAGTTAAAACGATTTAAAATTTACTTTTTAATCAATGGTAGTAGTTCAAAAGCATTTTTAAGGAGCGCAAAAAAGCAAGGGAAACACTATATTCTGGCACTCTTCAAAAATAACAAAAAGATACATTCCGAATACCCTACAAAATGAGAAAGAAAAAAATTTTGCACTGAAGTTTGAAGTACTGGCTTTTATTAAAAACATAAATAACCAACTGAAACGAAAAACAATTTTTAGTAGGGCAGTAAAATTATTATCGAAGAAGTAAAAAAAGAACAAATAATATTTTTAAAGTAAGTGAATTGAAACATATTGGAATAAAAATAAAAATCATTAGGTACTATTAAAAATTGCAAAATTTGACTTACCGACAAAACACAAGACGAAAGGAGACCACATCTTGACTAAACTGTGTAGCCAATGACCAAGTAACGATCTCAAATAATCGCTCAGTATTTATATTAAATTTATAGCTGACTTTGCAAAGATAGATCAAATTTTATGTCCATTCACAAAGAATGAAATTTTGCTGTTATCATAATGCTAAAACTTACAATTCTTTATCTATATTAATTGAACTCGTGGAGATTTTTTTATTTAAAAAATTGTTCACAATTTTTCCTTAATAATTAAGTATAGGTACCTACATTCGTAGAGATGTGAAAAAAAAAAAAATAAAAAAATGTTAAGTTTTAGAATTTGAGAAATCTGCCACCTGGTATTTTAGTAGCATTTTACAATGTCATCAAAAAAAACTCTTGTATTCATATAGAAAATTATCAGACTATCGCAACTGATGTAAATATTGGGTAGTGGAATTTATCCATACCAAATGTATCCAAAATATATCAGAAATTATTGGCCATAATAATTGGAATAGAATAGGAAGTTACAATCAAATTGATGGGAATTGGGTCCTAATTGGGTAACACTGACATATTGTCCGTCGTTTTTAATCTGACACTTTCCGTATGAGGAGCGAGGGGGTGAAGCATATGGAAAAACAGGTGTGACGTCAGGACCATTGGCGTTCTAACGTAGGGAGCCACCAGCTCACATTCCTACTTGGAGTATCACAATAAAATCGACTGACCGTAGGTAACCTAAACCCTCTCGATTTTCAACCAAATGACTAATGAGCTTTTATTCGCGCATTTTATTACATTGCGCATTTGTCATTTTTCTCATTTTAACGACCCCCATGATGTTTTGCAGGCTATAGGTAGGTACCCAATAGACCTTGGCAGATATTCGACAAAAATACCTACTTACTAGCACGCACGAGAAAACTTATTATTCCTGAATAAATGATGAATTTATGGACAAGAATGAAATTGGTACCCTATACCTATATTGTTTTTTTTTTTTTTTAAATGAAACTTTAAAACTTATCGTTCGTTGATCATTGCAATCGCCCAATCGGCTTAATTTGTAGCTTGTCATGGGTTTTTCCCCTAAACGATGTATACTGACGTTTTAATGTAGTTTCTGAGATATTTGAGAAAAATAACCGGTGAGATACAAGAGGAAGAGAGCCGGCCTGCTGGATTATCACACTCAAGGCGACTTGGAAGTCATCGGCACTAGACTTAATTTGCAGCTCATTAGAAAGATAATTTCCCCTCAAAGTTTTAAACTGACAGTATGTGTAGCTCCTGAGAAATTTGGAAAAAATCCTGGCCAGAGACAAAAAGACTATTCAGGCTGATTTTCATTATGGTTTCATATGGATTGATGTGCATTTCATGAAACGGGCTATCCTCCCTATAGTGCAATGTGTCCAAGATAAGGAGGGCCATCAGTATAAGGATCTCAAAAATGGTAAGAGATACGACGTTGGTGAAATTGAAACAAAGTTGCGCAATTTTGTGCTCATTACAATGACGCTTTGATGTTCAAAAAATTCCGAGTGCTACCGGAGATATCCGGAAAAAAACTAAATTTTGCAAAATCGATGTTATTTTCTTCGGAGTTATTTGAGGAGATATTTCAAAATAATTGTTACCTGATCGTAACAACCTTTTCTAATCTACAAGATGACATTTTCAAATTTAAAATCGGATGTTTGGTCTTTGGGCCATCATCATCAACTTCATTTTTTTTCAAAACGGCCCTTGATTTTCTATTCCAGATTTTAAAGCCTCTGATGTCTCAAAACCTATGGCGCATCGCATTTATTCGAAAAAAATTTTTTTTCACTTTTTAGTTATTTCCTACGAAAAGTCTCTTCTCTGTCTCTCTCTAACACGTTAAGTTCTTACGAAAAGTGCCAATAATATAAATTTTTCGTATAAGTGCAATACGTCATTGGTTTTGGGACATCAGAAGCTTATAAAATCTACCTAAAATAGAAAATAATTAGGGGTCTGTATTTAAAAAAATTAAGTTAATGATAAGAGCCCAGAAGCAAAACGTTGGACTTCAACTTTAATAACGGCATCTTGTAGAGGAGAAAAAGTGGCAAAGATGAAGTGCCGTTTTTTTGAAATATCTCTTCAAATAAGAAAAAAATAAAATCACTTTGGGCGGATTTCGGTTTTTTCGGGATATCTCCGGTAGCACTCGGGATTTTTGAAATATCAAAGCGCCATTTCAATGAGCACAATGAGCATTGCGCAACTTTTTGCTAATTTAAGCGATGTTGTATCTCTTACCGTTTACCAGATCCCCATAATGGCCGTTCTTATCTTAGACGCGGCATTGTATAGGTATACAGGGTGTCAATTTGAAAACTTTCCACCCCTATTATCTCGGAGTAGAAAAATTTTCCAAAAAATCCCTGAAACACGTCAATTATAACAACAATTTTCAACTGTCAATATTTCCAAAACAGTTGAACTTAGGTATTGAAATTTGATACCAAAATGTATGGAATTAAAAACCCTGCAAAATGATGTATCACTTGACTCCTATTCCCATTTAAAATTTTCTAGGGGATGGCTCTGGGGGTTGAAAGAGGGGAGGTGAATTTTGCATAAAAAATCATCCCCCTTCAAATTATACTTGACGTGTTTCAGGCATTTTTTTGAAAATTTTTCTACTCCGAGATAATAGGGGTGGGAAGTTTTCAAATTGACATACTGTGCACCATGCATTAGTATTAGTCTATGACAATACTGCATTTAATTGATTGGGAATTATCGGTTGTTCGAGAGTACATGCGAAGAAATAATTATTTATTAGGTATTTGTTTGATCCATACTACATTTCTGACCATACTTGAATATGGTCAGAAATTCAATCATGTCACTGTCACAATATTCGTCTGAGCATTTTTTTTCCACACATTCTTCTATCAAAATAAAAAATTTCTTGAACATTAACTTGCATGTTTATATTGTTTTAATTTCTACATAATATGGAATGCATGTGAATGTTTTTGTTTGGAAATTTTTAACATAATAATGGGGTTTGTTGATTGGCATAATATTGCTAATTGGTTTGCTTAGTAATATCTATTTCCATTCTTCCCAAAAAATCATTTGTAAAATTTGCCCAATTAAATGATTTTTATCAGGGCTATAATGCGCTTAACAATATTTAGATTATTTTCGAATAATTAAACGCAGCATGATTTTGAAAAAAATCTTTTGAATCAACTTGTTAGTTATTTATACCGAATCAAACTAATGGCGTCTTCGATTGTATCTTTGTCTATCAGCATGTTAGAGAAAAATATAGAAATACATTTTCTTGCTCTAGCTCTCTACTAATCGCCAGAAAAAATATATAGGTGGGTGTCCCATATTTGGTACATCAAACTTATAGGGGTTGTAAATGACATCGAAACATGTTTTGGCAAACAGTACACTCTATTCCGAATATGTAAATTTTGGCCCTAGAGTGAATGAAAGGTTCTATACAGCGAGAAAAACTATCCCTTATTTACACTTACTGGCTCACTTACAAACTACAAGCGCATTATACCAGGTGCCGAAGAGATTACTTTCTGTCTTCCATTTTTTTATTTGTTCATCGATATAAACGCGAAACTTGGTAGGGTTGATATTCTAACGAGGCCCCAATTTTATGCATCTGACAAGCTTTCCCGACTTCCGGTTTCACCGAAAATGACCGGAAATTTTGATTTTCGAATGGCACACCCTGTACACTTTGTTATTATCGGATTCTACACATCGTTTTACGTCATAATGCACCACTTTGAAATCGAGTTCTGTCCAAATTTTATTTTTAAATCAAATTTTAATTTTTCATTTAGAGTGCCATGATCATCCTAAAATCAAATCACTCTACATATTTTACTTACTTTCAGAAAAATACAAACTCAATTTTATTTTTGTAAACTTTTTTGATAGTGCGAGCTGCAAACTTCATTATTTTAGTATTTTTGCCCTAGCTCTAAAACTGAAATAGGAACATACCACTTTCATAACATTACTAAATGCAGTATTTTAAAGCGAATCCAACGATGTAATACACTATGACGTTTTTGTTTATTTTTGTTCATACCTTTTTGTTTTATTATAGCTGAGTTCGGAAAATAGCTCCCATCAAAAGCATAAAGATGAATATTTTGACAGTTGTCACGCGATAAACTTTTCTAATATCAATTTAAAGTCACGTGTGCAAAAATCATTGTTCGATGTCATTTCCAAATTTGCGCGGAGGGGCTTAGAGTCTTAGCACTCGTAGTATCTCTCACTGCGGGTATCTGTAGAGCGGCTGTTTGAAAGATAAATATTTATCTTCTGGATCACCTATCCCACCGCAATCTTCCAGTTCCCGTTATTTCTTCTTCGCTCGGCAGATTTTTCTTATCCAGTTCGTTGGCGATCTATTGCCGGTTTCCTTTACGTTCCAAGTTCCAAAATGGTTTGATGTCAGTATCTTCTAAATGATCACTTCCAAGCCGTTCGGAACTGCCCCCTTGATTTGTTTCTTTGAAGGCTTCAGCAACCCTTTCAACCTTATCAATTCTGGGGTAGTGGTTGCGTTGAATTGGGCATGGTCGCTC